CTCCTCCATGATGAAACAATTTTTCTGAAGAGAAGACGAGTAAGAGAGAAGACAACGAGTAAGGAAGAGAAGGGGACAATACGGAACAAGTTCCCTGGAACAACCACCACTATTTTCCCTCGCAAGCAAAGGGGAGAGAGGGGGCTAGAGAGGGGCATTGGGATTCTTGAGTTTTGGGGAAACAAAAGTTGCGGCAGCAGTCGCAACTTTAAAGTTATCGTAGTTCATTTTTTTCTGTGAGTGTATCTTGCAGCCAAATTTGCAGCAACTCATTTGCAACTCACTCCCTGCAACTAGATGGTATTTTGCAACTGCAACTGCATTTGCATCCAATTGCAACGAAACAAATAGTTGCAACTAGCCAAAAGTGACCCAGTTGCATGCAACTACAGTTGCATCTACACTAGTTGTAGCCTACCAAATAGCCCACTGAGTGAAATAATATATGGTCATGCAAGGTGAACAATATAAACATAAAAATGTGTGAATTGTTAGGTCTCATGTTTAGAAGCCTACGGTCTAATCTTGTTTTTATGATTTACAAATAATCTCTATCATCGTTTGTCTAGTGTTTATATTTGTTTATTAGGTATTCTAGACAAACATCGATGTTGGATGGATTGCGCCTTAACGATGACATTCAATGGAGGTTGGCGGAATATCAGAATGAAGTCATTTGCAATTCAAAGTCAAATTCAAGATCAAGCTACATCCATAACCAAGGCGAGCTTTATTAAAGATCAATAATTTGGGTATAATGTTTTAGCTTTATACTTTGTGTATTGATAAGTAAAGCTCAAACATTATACACACATACACAATTTTGTTTTATAGATTTTGAATTTAAATCGTATAAACATGAAACTAATAGTTATATACATATGCATATATACTAGTTTCCTATTTATAGGTTTTGTTTTGGAAAATAATGTGTTTAGCTATATAAATATGAAACACATGAATATAATTACATACACACATATTCGTTTCATGTTTATATGTGCTTAAAATAATTTTATTAATTAACAAATTTAAAATCAATGAAACCATGTTTATTTGCAAAATTATGTGTTTATGGATTAAAAACTCAATTACATCATGTTACATCTTTTCCTAAGTCCATTAATCCATTCAAAATGAATATGCAAGTTTGTAATTACATCATGTTACATCTTTTCCTAAGTCCATTAATCCATTCAAAATGAATATGCAAGTTTGTTTGTCAAAATTTCAAGTGTAAGTCCATTAATCCATTCAAAATGAATATGCAAGTTTGTTTGTCAAAATTTCAAGTGTATTGAGTTTTCATCTTTTGGACTATTTTGCAAAATGATAAGTTTTCACATTTAAAAAAGTGCGAAACATGTTTACATTCATGTTTATAAACATTTCCTAAAGTTTTATATTTTTTGAATTTATTTGATATTTTTAAAGAATGTTCAAAATTCAAATTTACTGTTCATTATATGCATTGTGCACGTTATCAGTCGACTGATGAAAATCATCAGTCGACCGATGAAAGTGACTAGAATAGTCGAAGTCTCTGCTTAGTCGACTGATGAACTATCAGTCGACTGAATCAGGTCATCAATCAACTGATGAGTTCATCAGTCGACCGATGAGGTGTGTGCTGACTCTAACGGTTAGCTCATTAGTCGACTGATGAACAATATCAGTCGATTGATGTCTTCTAACGTCTATATTTCCAGCTTTCCTGTTTTTTAGGATTCTTATCTTTTTTCTTGGATATTCTTGGTTCTTATGCTTTGTTTCATGAACCTATATATATCACATGCTCTCAATCGTCTGAACAACCAAGAAAGTTTCAAAAATAAGTTTACAAGAGTTTAAGGGTATTTTGAGTTTGGTTTTTCAAGTGTTTATGTGAAGTGGTTTTCACAAGAGGAAGAGGAGATTATTCATTCTTGTTTGGGCTTCAATTTCCCATCTTCATCACTCTTATTGCAGAGAAGTTTTTGCTAACTCAATTCTAGCTTTATATATTTATTTTTTGATTATCAATTTCATTAAGCTAGTTTTTATATTGAGTTTGCATTTCATATACTCATTGTTTACACACACAAATCACTTGAGCTTTTAGTATTTTCACATATTATATATTTGAGTTGTAGGAGTTGTAACATTGCGAGTGAGCTTAATTGAGTTTTCATCTTGTTTAGGGAACAAACACTTTTATTTGTGCTTAATTTATGAGATCACATTGTAATACACAAGGACACCGAAATGAGTGGTTGGTGAGAGAAGGGGTCAATTCTAAGAGGAGTGGCGTTGGTAGTAAAGCCTAGGGAGAGGTGGTAAATCTAAACACTTGAGGAAATTGACACGGGCTAAGCCAATACTTAGAGGGTGTATTGTGTGAATGCAATTATGTGAGTTGTGAAAATTTTCGGTGGGCTAGAAAACCGATTGTGTGAGTTGTGTAAACGTTTTCGGTGAACGTTGAAAACCGGTTGTGATAGTGGAGATTCTCCTCGAGAATGGGGATCGGAGATGTAGGTCGGGAGTGACAGAACTCTGTGATCACATTGTATGTTTGAGTTAGCCTTGACGTATTATTTGTGCTCATTGTTTATTATATTCTATATCGTCATTGTCTCATGTGTTATATCGCTCTTAGTTTAATTGCATATCATTGCTCATATATCTTGTTGTATATTATAATTGCTAGGATATTATTAATAAGTTTTAATTTGGTATTAATATCGGATTAGATTAGCATATAACCATATTTACCCCCTCTAGGATAATTTCATGAATCCTATCAGAACGAACGACAAGATGCGGGCCATTCTAATAGCAGCAGAGGGGATAGTAGAGGAGTATTTAAGGAATTGTACAATCAAAATCAAGAGATGAGATGATCCCGCACCACAATGTGTTCTTATAGGAATACTAGTCACATAAAGGGGTAAGCCTAGAAGATCGCAAGTATAGCATGTGGGAGTGATATTCGGGTGGAATAGAATTGGTGCTGTTCATGATCTCTTTGGATATATCTGTATATCTCATTGTCATATTCATTAATGGGCTAATAATTTTAATCCATATCCTACTGGTTCAATATTAGTCCTATCTGACCAGTTTATTTCATCGTTAAGCGGAGTGATATCCATTTATCTCTGATTAATAAGTAATTATTAGGTTGGATTTGGCTAAATCTAGCCGGCTTAGTCGGGACTATAACCCCTATTAGCATGAAAAAATAGACTTAACTGCACTAAGATATCCTATAGTTTCCGTAATTTCCACTTTTGTACCCTCACTTGTTTTCGGCAAGCACTTACATAGCCTAAATTTTTTATATTTACACTTTAATATCCTTAGCTGTGCAAACATGAGAATTTCCCTCCGGCAATTCTCATGCAACACTTACATGTTATCTTTAGAATATTTTAACCCTTAACAATTTTAAATTTATAGTTAAAACTATTGTAATTCTATTTTAAACTTACTGTAATTCTATTTATTATAGGATGTTGATATTGGTACCCAAACTAACAGGTAAAACTACCATAATTCTATTTAAATTTGCCTAATTCTATTTTAAAATTGGATGTTGATATGTTAATAATAAATTTAATAAATATTAAGAGTTCAACTATTCTAGAATAGAGGAAATTCTCATTTTTACATAACTGAGGGGAATAGAGTGCAAATTTTAAAAACATGAGGTGAAATAAGTGCCACAAAAAACAACTAAGGATATATAAGTATGATGTAGGAGAAATTAGAAGGTGCTAAGTGCAATTAAGCTGAAAATATTTGTTGTTGGGGATTTAAAGAAGGCTAAATAGGGTTTAAATACTTTATGGTTTCACTTCTTTAGCACTTATATACCATAGATTGTATTTCGTAGCATTTATATACCTAGAGTTGTTCTGGTACATTAATACACTTTGTTTTGCAAACCTAAAATTTCTTATTTAAAATAATTCATATACTAATTTTATGACTGTCTATTAAGTTTTTTGAATTCATTACTAAATATTTTTAAATTCTATTTTATAAATAGAATTACAATACATTTTAATTAGAATTTGATAGGATTAATATATTTTAACACATATTAATGGTTAAGGATCTCTAGAATTAATATATGAATATTATATAAAACTTTCAAATAAAAGTTTTCACATGTGTATAACAAAAGGTATTAAATAAGTCAATTTTCAACAATTTAAAACATATAAATGCTATAAAACACAACTGAAGATATATAAATGCTAAAGAAGTGATACTATAAGGTGTTTAGAGCATCTCCAACAGTCTCCTTATCTCATGTCCTAGACTAACTATAGGAAGTAGGAGGGGAAAAAGTTGCTCCAACAGGCTCCCTATGTTGGAGACTAAATATAGGGAATAGAGTTTGTTATTCCAAATCAAGAATAACAAAGTGGCTCACTATATTTACAATGGATTTTTGCAACGGCTCTTTGCAACAGTTTATATTTGCATTCAAGCCCCTCATTCTCCTTTCATCTATATATATTGCATCTTTGTATAGGATAAATTAATTCATCTCATAATTATTTTACATTTGGCATTCTACTATTTTTCTTTAAAGGTAAGTAAATTAGTTCATCGCTTAATTATTTTATTTCTCTCATATTTTATACTTACAACTGATTTATTAGTTTTCATTTCATTTTAATTTCTTTAAAATTAATTATAGTGTTGACCTTAATTTGTATTATTTTTTTTACAGATGGATTATTACACTTCTCTACTGAATCAGGGATTATTGTCTGATAGTGGTCTATTGGATGAAGATCACAATCAATCTGTCATGCCAGTTGAGTCAACTGAAAATAAATTTTCTAAAAAAACCAGACGAACGAAAAACTTCATCGTGGAGGACCCCAAATGCTCGCTCTACATCATTTCTTGCTGATTTTTGAGCTTGTGCACAATTTTTCCTCTTATTTCCTTGTGGAGCAGAAATTGTTTTTACAAATGTTGACCATTGTGGGTATATACTATCAAGCAAGGTAATATCTCATCGTATACTCATGAGAATTAATAGAGCAGTTAACTAGAGGAGCACGACCTTCAGTAAGTTTAGTAAAGAGATTTAACCTTTCTAAGATGTTAATATCATTATGAGATCCTGGTAACCCAAAAAATGCATGCCATATCCAAAGATTGTATGAAGCAACGACTTCCAAAATAATTGTTGCCTCATGGACGTGACTAGCATACATCCCATGCCACGCAGCCGGACAATTCTTCCATCTCCAATGTATACAGTCTATGCTCCCTAACAGTCCAGTAAATCCGCGTTGTTCACCAATCTCTAGCAATCTTCTGATATCGTCGTTGTTTGGTGACCTCAAAGACTCATCGGTGAAAATTGCAACAACGGCCTTGACAAACTTTTTAACACTTTCAATAGTCCTGCTTTCACCAATCCGCACATAATCATCCACAAAATCTATAGATACTCCATAAGCAAGCATCCGCATGGCGGCTGTTATTTTTTGAATGGATGATAAACCAAGATTACCTGCAGCATTCCTTCTTTGGACAAAGTAAGGATCAAAATCTTCCACGGCGGATGCAATTCGGAGGAAAAGTGGACGATGCATTCGAAACCTCCTTTGAAATAGTCGTGGACCATAAACGGGCTCCTTAGCAAAATAGTCACGATAAAGTCTATTATAACCTTGAACTCTATCGCGTTGAATGACAACATGGCCTCGAACGGAACCAAGACGGCGCGATGCACTCCTCTTGTTAGCCACCCGCTCCTCTTCAATGGCGGTCATTCCTAAGAACATTGCGTATTCCTCGCCAGCTTCTTCTTCCATGAGGAACGGTGCTATTTTGTTGTTATGAGATATAGATGATATTGAAAAAATGATGCTAACAATTAACACAATTTGAGTTAAGCGAAAAGTGAGAGTGCATATGATATTATGTATAAAGGTCATATAACCGTTATGATATACTCGTTGAAATATAGCCGTTACAGTATAACCGTTGGAATATAGTCGTTATAATATAGTCGTTATAAGGGAAAATTTACAAAATAGACCATTTTTATAAAATATATAGCGAAATAGACCACTTTAAAAAATAATTAGCAAAATAGACCTCTTTTAAAAAAAGAGGTCGATTTTGAAAAACAAGGCTCAGAAAACATACAGGACTACTAGTCCCGTATGTTTAGAGCCAACTAATCATGGATTGGTGACTCAGAAAACATACGGGACTACTAGTCCCGTATGTTTTCTGAGCTGTTTTGCAAAATAGACCTCTTTTTGGCCTGTTGGCCAAATAGATGTCTATTTTGCTAATTATTTAGCAAAACGGTCTATTTTGCTAAATAATTAGCAAAAACGGTCTATTTTGCAATTTTTTCCATAAATTATGTATTACAAAATGAGGTAAGTGAAAAATATTCAAAATTGTTTAGGGAGCTATTTGGAGAGCATTATTGGAGCACTTGCTCCTTATTTGGCTCCCTATTTCCTATTGTAGGCGTATAAAACTGCCTATGGGTCCCTTAGCACAGCTCAGCACGGTGATTCGACAAACCAATGAACCATCGGGCGAAATATCCAAACACGATCGTTAGTCCATAATACCAAAGCCAAAAGACACGCGACGAAGCGGATCAACGAGGCGACGAGGCTAACGAACCGCACGCAAACAATGGAATACATCCACTTACATGCGGAATCAAGCTAACGGTTTGGTGAGTCAACGAGTCATCCAACCATAGAATGGATTCGAACTCAAACACCGAAGCGGGTTTACTGCCAAATCAGGATTCAGATCAACAAATCAGAGTCCAAATCAACAGCGAAACCGAAAAACATTGAAAACCAACATTTGGAGGACTCGGCCAAAACCGAGCCACCAAAAGGTGGCTCGGTGGCTGAGCCACCTTTTGGTGGCTCACCAAGGTGGCCGGCCACCTGTGCCAAAGCACAGATCTGAGTACCTATAAATAGGCTAGGGGGGCTCATTGTTGAGAGGTTGGAACTTTTGGAGTCGAAACTCTGCTGGATTGAGAACTCACCTTCGGATTTTTAAACTTAGAAGACTCGGACTCTCAGATCTGGTTCTTGGCGATCATCCACGCCAAATAAGGCAGGAGTTCGAGAGAGATCAGATCTGAGATCTACACAGTTTCCCTCCGGATCAAAGCTTGGCCTTTGATCCCGAGAAGAGTCTCGATTTCGCTTGGTCGATTTCGATAACTAAGGCTATTATTTCCTTGGCGAAATAATCCCCTCGGCTGTTATTTTCTTCGTGAGATAACACCCACTATACTGTGTAGATCCGACCGGATCAAAATCGCGCGGTGGTCCACGGATTAACCCCGGTGCAGGCAAAGAACCCACAAAAGCGAGAGACCGTAAAACAGGATCTCGTGATTCGTTCGACATAGAAGGAAAGTAATTTTCATTTTCTTTTGATTTTGTTATAACCGGATCTTATAAAAAGACCGGATCTTTTGTAATCGATAAACTATTATTCAAGAGTGCAATGGAATCAAAGAAAGCAATTTTTCCCGCGAACAATCTGGCGACCACAGTGGGAGCCACCGATCTCGCTGCCGAGATCGTTGCGTCGTAGTCGCGGATCTCGATCCCGGTCGAGGAGGAGGTCGAGTACGAATTTGACCAACAAAAGTTCGAGGAGTATCTGTCATCCTCGTCCGGATCGACCTCCCCCTCAAGTCCAAGAAGTTCTCCTCCAGGAGAAAGGTCCGTTGGTATGAAGAAGTTGAGAATACCAACGAAGATCTCACCCCAATTGATACCAAAGTTGCATCGGGTGAAGCTCCACCGACCTCCAACCAGGTCAAATCTGTTCCTGCCAATTCCTCCGCCGTTGAGGGCGTTGTGACTCTCTCAAAGAGAGCCCGCCAGAGGCGACGTCAACGCCTGGCGCGGCAACTCGCAAAGGCGATGGAGTCCACTGACGGAATCCGCTATCACGCGGATCTGAAGAGCAGGAGAGGTAAACAGCCTCAACAAACAATGAATGGCAGCTCCTCCAAGCCGCCAACGAATGAATGGGTCCATGTCAAACGGAATCGTTCAACACTTGATGAGCGCATTCGCAAGAAACACGCACTGTCAATGCAAGCACGGGCTCAAGTCCAAGAAGCCTGCAGAAGACTGCAGAAGGAAGTGGCCAAAAAGTCGCCACCAACCCGCCAAGTCTGGAGGCCGAAGTCTGAAGCGGCGATTCAGGCTAAAGAACAACCTTTACAGCCTTCAGCAAAAGTTCAACCTTCGGCGAACCACTCTAAATCGCCGATAATTCCCATGGCTGCTCCGGGAGATCACGCAGAATCATCCCGAAGAAAGAAGTCAGTTTTGGAGCGCCTCGGTCCACTTCCCGATGGACAATGCAAAGCTCCAGTTCAAGAACGTTTGGGCCCAATAAAGAAGCCCCGAACGACTCAATATGATAAGGAGATCAGGGCAGCTAAGCGCACCAATTTGCGCATTGAAGTCCAGGAGCCCGCTGAGAACTCACGCCCACAAAGGCATGTTTCGAGGCACGTAACTTTTGAAAGCCCAAAGAAGGCAGTTCGCCCTCAGAAGGAAACATTGTCGTCTGATGACGATAGCATTATACCTGAGAAGTCGTGCCAACACACGATAGGTTACTCCGACCTTCAAGCAAACGAGTTGTACTATCGTGTTGGGGGTACGAGTAAAACCAGGAAAAGGAGTCCTCGAGAATTAGAAACTCAATGCCCATGTTCCAAACTCATTCGGGCAGTATTGTCTGAGTGCAACTGCACCAATACAGTCCCCGAGAGAATTTCTGTTTTCGAAAGGCTCAGTACCGAAATGCCAAAACCAAGGCCTAGGCGTTTCCGACGAAGGAGAGCGATGGTTGAAGATAGGGAATTTCCGAGGGTCACCACTAATATGACCAGCAAAGGGACATCGACATGGGATAATCTCGAGTCGATTCTGAAAGCACCACGGTGTATAACCCGTCTGCAGTCTGGAACCATCAAACGAGCAACTTACGGTAGGATTCGGACAAGATTACCTTCAGAAGATGAAGAATCGGATGCCTGCTCTGCAGTCGCATCAGATAACACAGTATCCAGCGAGGGACAACCCCGCGAGTCACTCATGATAAGTGCGGAACAAGTGGCCAAGATGCTCGAAGAAGCCATGGCTAAACAACAGGAGAGCTTCAGGTTCGAAATGCAGATGGCCATGCAGAACATGAGAGAAATGCATGACCAACAAATCCAAGCATTAACGAACCAGCAAGGCGAGCCAAGTCGTCGTAACCAGGTTAATCTGGAAGATGAGGACACAGGTGCGAATGAAACTCATAATGCCAATAATCCTTCCGTCAATGCAGGGGGTGGTAACGAGAATGCTAACGAAGACTTAGGTGAAAGCTTGAAGATTAAAAACCTCGAGAGCAAAATCAATACGTTGATTTCCACTCAAGAGATGAAGAAGACGGGCATTCCTTGTCCCTACCCAAGAGAATGGGAATCAATCCCTTATCCGGCGAAGTTCAGTCTAATCAACTTTACGCCGTTTGATGGGAAGGGTTCACCCACTCAGCATTTGATTTACTTCAAATCGCACCTGGGGGTTATCTCTGGTAATGAGCCTCTGATGGTACGGTCCTTCGTTGGCACTCTTCGTGGAGCCGCCTTCGATTGGTATCGCCGCCTCAAGCCTGAAAGCGTGAATAGCTGGGACGACATGGAGACTAAATTTCTCGCTAACTTCTTCGATGATGACACCGAGATATCCATCGGGTTGTTGCTTGACGAGAAACAAAAAGATGGGGAATTGGTCGACACCTTCGTCAAAAGGTTCCGGAACAAGGCGATGAACTGTCGGGACCCGATCACTGAGGAGTTCATTCTCCAGACTTGCCACAACAACCTCGCATTGGACGTGTTGGAAGCAATGGGAACAACACCGTCTAACACTTGGAAAGACTTGAAGGTGCACGGTGAACAAGCCGAACGCTTCCTCCGAAGGAAGAAGGCCGAGAGGAACCTACCGACGGCTAATCCTCCGAACTCGAACTTCGCCTCCCGTGGTAAAGGGAAATCACCTGCAACAGCTGTTGACGCTAACCAGACGTCGCCCCGAAGACAGCAAAAGACTTCGGGTCCGAAACTCCAAAAAGAGTATTCCTTCAAGGACGAAGACGTTCCAGCCATCTTCGAATCCCTCCTTGGAGGCAACAAGATCAAGCTACCACCTATCACAAATCAGGAGGAAGCTGACAACACTACGGATCCAAAGTACTGTGCATACCACATGAGGGTCCTTCATCCCACCAAGGATTGCTTTGCTCTCAAGAATAGCATCCAAACTTTGGTTGAAGCTGGCGTTATATCGCTCAGTTAAGTCGAATAAACACTCCGACAAGTATACGAGTATAAACTACTTCTTAATCCTCCGACCGGTATAAGAGGTTAAACTGCTCCCTGATACTCCAACATGTATATGAGTCTAAACTATTTCATTTCTTTCACGGGAAGTTCCTGGAGAATTTTTATATATTCTTAAGGATAACCCAGTCATGTAATTGAGTACAATGTCGGACCCAGTTCCACAAGGGAAGCTGGGGGTGGATTATTCATGTATCGAGAAGTTCCCGAAAGAATACCACGGGTGATATTCTTAGGGATAACCCAACCACTATTAAAGTGATAAGTAAAACATCCACATTTAAACTCTAAATGTCGGAATGTTTTCCATTATTGTTATCAAATTCACTAATTCTCATGCGTTATCTTGTTGAGACGAGATTCGATCCTTTTGACAGATTAATCTTTCCTCACAAAAAT